CGCCATGGATTAATTAGCTAGTCGGTGCCGCAAAGCAACGAGAGTTACAACATTTTTATATGTATGTATGTGTGTATATATATATGTATGTACGATGAAAGAAGAACAAGGGGGTGACAAGACAATAGTGGTGACATAGATCTTTCCTCTGTTTGATAGCGGTCTTACTGTAAAAAAAAGAATGCAAGGACAAGGTAATAGGTAGGAAAACTGAATGAAGGAGATAACCGAGAGTTGTCAACCGTAAAGCGATAAAGCAACGAACACGTAAGACAAGATCTTTAATTGGCAGGATGGGTCGTTGAATAGATTTTTCTTTGACAACACACTAGATTTAGATATTTTTTTTAAAAAAAAAGGGAAAGATGAATGGGTCATTGAGTAGATTTCTTTGATAGGGTTAAATTTATATTTGGAAATTTTGGAAGAGACGACAACGACCATGATAGCCGTCTATAGCAGCATAGGCAACAAGAATAAGGGTTTTGTTTGGCGTGACACCTCCTCAAATGGAGCACTCGAGGAGAAGCCATGAATTATAAAGTGATGGGTACGGTTTCTCTACCGACTATTAGAGCTAGAGCAGAGCCATACAAAATGGGCCCTAAGACTAGGCACCTGTTTGGTAGAGCTACTCATGGTTCAGATTATCGGTGAAAGTTGATTATTTGATAGACAATGACTCTGAAGAAGCTATTGTTTTTAGTTTCCAGCCTCTCGGCTAATTTTAGAGAATCATCTCGCAAAATTAACATAGAATCACTTATCAATTAAAAAAACCAGTTTGGAAAAGGAAATGCCACCAAAGGTGGTGTTTAAATCTAGGGGGCTAAAGTTTAGGGGTGTCACATGGGAGTGTTTGGATAGTAATAATAAAATAAATTACACAAGTCCTCCGTAATCCGCGAGACAAATTTATTAAGTCTAATTAATCCATCATTAGCACATGTGTTTACTGTAGTACCGCATTGTCGAATCATAGACTAATTAGGCTTAAAAATTCGTCTCGCAAAGTAGTCGCAATCTGTGCAATTAATTATTTTTTTAGTCTATATTTAATAGACCATATATATGTCCACTACGATGTGTTAGGGACTAAACTTTAAAATGATGAACTAAACCGGGCCTCAAGCAGCAGGCCTGGTAAGCAATGAACTTAATTACTCACGTGAAATTCCAAGTAGGATTCTTGTGAAGTTTCTGCATTTGCTAAAAGAGCACTGATATTTGATTTGATTTTGCCCGTGTTTAGTTCCTAGCTAAATTCTTAAAAAATGCTACAGTAGTCATCACATCAAATCTTACGATACGTGCATGGAGCATTAAATGTAGACGAAAGAAAAAAAAACTAATTGCACAGTTTGGTTGGAAATTACGAGACGAATGTTTTGAGCCTAATTAGTCCACGATTGAACATTAATTGATAAATAAAAACAAAAGTACTACAGTAGCCCAAATTCTAAAATTCACGCAACTAAACACGGGCTTTATTGATGAATAATAGAGGGGGTCAGATTGTTGGGTTTGGCGCTGATGTGGTACAACCAACCAACCAATCAATCAAATCAAATACTACTAGCAATAGAAGAAGTTTAGGGCATGTTCGGCTGGCAACTCATGGAATCACTATTCATGTTCTACAGAACAATATTTTTCTCTTACAATAATTAACCAGAACAATTAGTCAGAACAGTATTTTTCAGTCCTGTAGAATAGTATTTTTCTCTCACTACAATCAGACAGAATAATAGTTTTTCTTTCTTTTTCTTCCTCTCTCTCCTCTCAGGCAGTACAGAGCCGAGTCAGCCCTGCATGGGTGGATGTGGTATGTGTGTACTCAGTGTGGGCGCCATCTCGAGCACTTGACCGAGCTGTGTTCGGCTGTGTAGTGTACAGTGATTTTTGCATTGTTTGATGATTGAATAGTATTCTATGGGAGAGAATAAACTGAAATAAGCTACCGAACGCAGTGCGTGTCGCCGTTGAAAGCTCTAGTTTGGTTTTGGTTAATTGATGAAACCCTAAGTGCTAACCTAGTTTATCAAGATGTTTATGAGATAGGTAGCACTACTCCAAGTGATGAAGCAATGACGAAGATCATGACAATGATGATAGCATGGTGATGATCAAATGCTTGAACTTGGAAAAGAAGAAAGAGAAAAACAAAAGGCTCAAGGCAAAGGTATAAAATGTAGGAGCCATTTTGTTTTAGTGATCAAGACACTTAGTGAGTGTGATCACATTTAGGATAGATAGCCGTACTATTAAGAGGAGTGTAACTCGTATCGAAATGCGGTTATCAAAGTGCCACTAGATGCTCTAACTTATTGCATATGCATTTAGGATCTAGTGGAGTGCTAACACCTTTGAAAATATTTGTGAAAATATGCTAACACATGTGCACAAGGTGTTTGCGAGGGTTGAGATGGGTTTGGGTCCCTCTCTCCCTCCCGTAAAGCAAGCTCGGCGGGATTAACGCTTTGGAAAAATGAAATGTCTATTTTCTATTCTTGTGGGATGTAAAATTCTTAGTGATTGGCACATTTGAGCAAGGGTGAAGAAGTTAGAGTTGAAATGGAGTTGGTCGAAATGATGTTTGGCGTTGGTCTCTTGGCCGGATATTTGAGTCACTCAATGACCGGATATTTGAAAAGGTCTGCGTCCGGTCGGTATCGAGCAACCTGATGGGAAGAAGGTTGAGCACCGGACCGACTGATCTGCGTCCGGTCAAAAGGTGGACGGACGCGTCCGGTCGAAAAAAACATGCCTCGGGGAGCTTCTTCGAAACGGCCGACATTTGGGGCTTCAGCGTCCGGTCGATTTTTTTCGAAACGTCCGATCGACCGTAGCCGTTGAAATCGGCGAACAGCGTTTGAAGCTGGTGACGCGTAAGCGTCCATCGAGGCTGACCGGACGCCGAGGGCCGTCGTCGGTCGGTATGATCGGAGCGTCCGGTCGAGAGCGCGCGTTTTGCCCAGTGAAGGGGTATAACGGCTCTATTTGACTGGGGCTCTATTTATAGCCCCATGGCCGGCTCAAGCTCAGTCTCTTGCACATTTTCAATGGCATAGCAACCTTGTGAGCTTAGCCAAAGCCCTCCCACTCATCTCCATCATTGATCCATCATTATTGTGAGATTGGAAGAGAATCCAAGTGCATTGCTTGAGTGATTGCATCTAGTGGCACTTGGTATTCGTGTTCTTATTTGTGGATTTCGCTTGTTTCTCTTGGTGGTTGCCACCACCTGAGCCAGTTGGAGCAATGGTGAAGGATTGGCACGAGTTGGTGATTGTTCGTGTGGCGCCTTCGGTGATTGTGAGGGAGTTGTACCTTTTCCGGAGTGCGAAAGGTAACTCTAGTAAATTGCTCGTGTCATTGAGTTACCTCACTTGTGGGTCGGTTCTTGCGGTGTCCTATCGTGTGGACGAGGTTTGTGAAACACCTCTTAGCCGCCGAACCACCAAGTGTTGGTCGACACAACGAGGACTAGCGTGTTGGCAAGCACGTGAACCTCGGGAGAAAAATCGGTTGTCTCTTGTCATTTGCATTCTCCCGGTGATTGGCTATATATTCATCGTGTAATTGGTTCACTCCACGACCCAGCGGTATAATCGTCTCACTTACTCATTTACATTTCCGCAAACTAGATATAGCAAGCTCTTTAGTGTAATTAGAATTGAGAGCTTGCCTTGTGCTTTAAACATATCTAGTGGAGCTCTTTAGTGTAGCATTTGTGAGAGCTCTTAGTGAGTAGTGGTCAAGTAGATTGTGTGCAAATAGATCATTGCAACTAGAATTGTTGGATAGGTGGCTTGCAACCCTTGTAGAGCTAGAGCAAGTTTGTATTTCGCTATTTGTCTTACTAATCAAATTGCTCTAGTTGATTTGTAGTTTTTAAATAGGCTATTCATCCCCCTCTAGCCATATTAGGACCTTTCAGCCGTGTCGGCGCCTGCCGCTACCAATTCCTCTTTATTTTATTTTGTCTTTCTGCAAAATACAACTTACTACATGTACTACTACTACTAATTATTATCGTATATAGTACGTATTATATAAAAAAAAGAAAATGAGATATATACATGAGTATGTAATACAATAGTTATTATATTTTTTTTGAAAGGAATACAGTATAGTAGTTATTATTATTATAGGTTGCACGTACAGTATACTATATATTATTATAACTCCAATTAAAAAAAGAAAAGAATAGAAGAAGGGCCGTTCAGCTGATATTAAAGCCGATTGATATTAAAGTCGGCAGATAAATTGGTCGAAGCTATTTTATTATGAAAAAAAATACTGTACAGTCTCGTAAGCAGCGGCGACCCTCACCTGCCGTCGTCTTCCTTCGCCGCCTCCTCTTTTCTTCTCGGAGGGGTTTTCTAGACTAGACTTGGCTTGCCTTACCTTGGACTTGGACTCCTCTCTCCTCTCTCCTCTCTCCTCTCCTGGTGTGCGTGCTTCTGCTACCTAGCTAGCTAGCTGGTCCAATCGCTGCGGCCAGAGCCCCCGCGCACGCTACCGGGGAGGATTCCAGCGCCGTCGAGCAACGGGACTCTAGCACCCGACAAGACACCGACCACTAGTAGACGCTGCCGCCGCCCTCCTCGCTCCTCATCCAATCCACGCGATTCCGATTGGATTGGATTGGATTTTGGTTTCAACTACCCTGCACCCCGCGTGCGCAAGCGCTAGCTCCTGCCGCCAACCGCAACCGGCCGACCGCCGCCCTCCCTGCGCCAGGAGGTCCTTCGCCGGCGACGAGCACCCACCAGGTATGCCTTGCCTGCGCACCCCCTTCTCCTCCCTTCCTTTATGTATTCGGATCTGATCTAGCGGTAGTAATTTACAAGTGTATTGTATGCCTACTACTACTACTACTAACTTCGTTTTTTCCCCCTTTTTGGTTGATCAATTGATTGCCCCATAACACACCAATTCCAGCAGACCAACCGCAAGGGCATGTGACAAGCTGCCGCCTGCCTTTGCCGCAGGCAATGTGCTCCGACATGTCGGATCAGCACCACCACCACGCAACCAGGTATTTCGATTCTCTTCTCTTCTCTTCTCTTGCGTTAAGTTTAATCAATCCTCAGCCTCCTCCTCTGGCTTGGCTCAGGTTGTAACCAATTCATCAGGTTAACAAATTTACTTTACTTTGCTTGCTTCCATTGTTTAACCTTCCTCCCCTCCTCAATCAGGTCCAGGTGTATCATTCATATTACTGGACCTCTTGCAGAATACTCTCCCCTACCTTAGCCTTTTATTTTTACCATCAACATGTTATGTTATTATGCATCATCTGTTTCTTAAGCACAAGTCCTTTTTTTCCTGGAAAGCAGTGTTGCACAGCTTGAATCTAAGTCAATTATTCACTGGCACTCTATGTGTTGATAACACTGAATAGGGATCTTTCTGTTTCTTTGCCTGTCAACAACTAGCAAAACCTGTACAGCTTTAGTTTTTGACAATCCGGTGTAAACTGTAAAGCACATAGATATGTATATGGAAGGCCCCCATCCTCGTCCTTTTCCTTTTGCCCAACACAACAGGGAGGATGCACCAGAGGCTAATGGTTACCATAGCAGTCCCCATGGTGCAGAGCAGAGTAAGGCTGCGGATGCCGATAAGCATATAAATCATCAGTCCACAGATGACAATGCTCCCTCCAGCGCTTCAGGTCACAGACACGGTCGTATCAGCCGTCATGCATCCACATCTTCTGTTGATGATCGCTCCATCAAGTCTGGTGACGATTCTGATGGGGCCGAGAGTACCAATGGCAGAAGCAGTAATACGGAGATCTCATTTCTAGAAAATGATACCATCTGGATACCACCTCAAGCGGCAGATAAGGAGGATGAGGCCCAGAGTTTTGCTACAAGCATCGCTTATGACGACGATGACGATGATTATAGTGACGGGATAAAGTGGGGCCAGTCAAGTTTCCCATCCCCTGGTAAGCAGCATGATGCCAGCACTAGCAATCATAGGGAGGAACGAGAAAAGGCGATGCTAGAAGCTATGAATGGCCAGCTGAAGATACTTGTCAGTCGGTTTCTTGCATCTGCTGGCATTGCGTCTTCCAACGAAGAGGGTAGTGATAGCTGGCTTGACATTGTCACCTCCCTGTCATGGGAAGCAGCGCTACTTATCAAACCTGATGGTAGCATGGGAAAGGAAATGGACCCTGGCTCTTACATCAAAGTCAAATGCGTAGCATCTGGTACTCGCCGGCAAAGGTGAAGCAATAATTTGTCTTCACCTCAATACATAGGAATAGGATTTCTGTTTCTGTTTCAAACTATATCCGTTAACCTATGGCAATGTTGGATTGGTTGCAGCGAGGTGATCAAGGGGTTAGTCTTCAAGAAGAACGCTGCTCATAAGCACATGCCGACAAATTGCCACAATCCTAGGCTTCTACTTCTCAAAGGAGTCATTGGGCATTCTGATGTCGGTTTGTCATCATTTAGTTCAATGGATCAGGTTAGATGCTACATATTTATATATGTATGCAAATATTAAACCTCGGCTTCTGTTTTTTTTTCACGGAGGAATAATACCTTCTATTTTCTATGCCTCTAACAATCAGGAAAAGGATCTGTTGGAGAGAGCTATTGGTAAAATGATGGAGATATGCAGTCCCAATGTTGTTCTGGTCGAGAAAACTGTTTCACGAAACATTCAAGAATTTCTTCTGAAAGAAGGCGTCACGCTAATTCTTGATATGAAACTCAACCGGCTACAAAGAATTGCACGCTGTACAGGCTCTCCCATAATATCGTTTTCAGAAGTTTTGGATAAACCAAAGCTGAAGCAATGTGACTACTTTCATATCGAAAAATTTATCGAGGAGCACAACAACGCCAGTGAGGGTGGAAAGATGGCATCTAAAACATTAATGTTCTTGGAAGGCTTTCCGCGTCCACTCGGTTGTACGGTATGTATAGTTCGTGCTCATTGTATACTGGAAATAGTCTATTCCATGCGCACTAATACCATTTATTGAATTAGTAGCAAGTCCCAAACTGATTGGTATTCCATACCTTTTGGATTAATATTTACAGTTAGAGTGGTTTTCTTTTTCAGATACTGCTAAAAGGAGCAAACAGTGAAGAATTGAAGAAAGTCAAACAAGTAATGCATTTTACGGTCTTTGCAGCATATCACTTGATCCTTGAAACGTCTTTCTTTGAAGATCAAAGGGTTTTCTAAATGATAAAAGTACCCGAAAGAAACTTCTGTTACTGCTACAGAAGGACACCACCAACTGCTTATGATGTTGCTGCTCTTAGTGGTGCTATCCCTAGCTTTCCTTCACATGATGACTCTCCAGCACTTAGACTGTTCCATGCCACTTCTAACAGCTATGCTGATGTGAACAAACCTTTGACATCTCCAATAAATGTGGATTCATTCAGTTCAGTATCCAGCAGCTCTGCAAATGACCTTGAACAAGGTGCAAGGCTCAATAATACTGAGAGGTTAACATTACCAGTCCAAGGGCCACTAAGGAAATTGTTCGCTGACATGTTACACCAGAATATTTACTTACCTGTTACTTCATTGCAAGAGGCAAATGATAATAGGAAGGAAGTCAGGGCTGAATCCGGTCAAGAAACTGTTAGTAATGGTTTCCATTGGCCAAAGATAGAAGAGTCTGCGGTTTCCATTGAAAATGGGGAGTCCATAAATGATACCCAGAAACAAGAAATTACTCAAGCAATAATGCCGAGTAGTTCTTCTGTAAGTGATAAAAATGGAGAATCACCTGTTATGGAAGACAATGGGGCACATAGTACTACAAGTATTGTTATCAAAGAGAAATATGTCGACGATGATCAAGCTGATGATGCACTTGATTCTCACAGCATACTGATTTTGATGTCTAGCCAGTGCACGGAAAAGCAGGTTATCTGTGAACAAAGCCATTTAACCCGTATAAAATACTATGGGAGTTTTGATGTGTCCTTAGGGCGATATTTGCAAAACATTCTGCAGAATCAGGTGACACTATTTCATAACCTTCTAGTGTTTTGTTCTTATGTGAAATATCTGTGTTTTGTGTTTGTAATACAATTTGACTCGGTTGCTGGAGGCTCAGCTTTTAATGTTTCCCTTGCAGAAACTGAGTTGCTCCTCATGTGGAGAGCCTCCAGAGTCGCACATATACTCCTACACGCACCGAAATGGAAATTTGACCGTTCTAGTGAAACGTTTGGTGCCCCAACACCATTTACCTGGTGAATCCAAAGGAAAAATATGGATGTGGACTAGGTGCTCGAGATGTGATCATGAACATGGGGTATCCAAACCAACTCCAAGAGTACTAATATCAGCTGAAGCACGCAACCTCTCGTTTGGGAAATTCCTTGAACTCAGTTTTTCGAGCCACTCTGCAGCAAGAAGGTTATCCATATGTGGACATTTGGTCAACAGGGATTGCTTGCGCTTTTTCGGGTAAACTTCCTGCTAGCCATTAGGGTTTCATATAACAATTCCATGGAAACTACTCAATCCATCCCAAATTGTAAGACGTTTGACTTTTTTGACACCAAGTTTGACCACTCGTCTTATTCAAAAATTTGTGTAAAATATCACTTCTTTCGTCGTGGGTTGGTTTATTAATAAAAATTCTTCAAGAATGACTTAAATTTGACTATATTTGCACAAATTTTTTGAATAAGACGAGTGGTCAAACTTGGGGCAAAAAAAGTCAAACGTCTTACAATTTGGGATGGAGTAGTACCTTTTTTGCAGTTTGGTGATGAATACTTCCTCTTTCTTACTAATTTCAGGTTGGGCTCTAAAGTTGCTATGTTCCGGTACTCATCGGTTGAAATTTACGCTACCTGCAAACCACAACCTACTCTCCAGTTCGTCAACCCCATCAGACAGGATTGGTTTGAAGGACAAAGGAGAAATGTATGGTTCATTCTCTTGACTGTTTTTTTCATTACTTATCTTCAGTTATTGTACAATGGTGCCTGACGCTTATGCTCCATCTTTCAAGATTCATGCTAAAGGTATGGCACTTTTCTCTGGGGTTGCAAGATTTCTACAAAACTTGAAGAATGAGCATCCTGATGCAATAACATTAGCAATCAATTGTGGCCTCGCACTCCCTGTTAAGGACTTCACTGAACTAGAAGAGTTGTTGATAAAAGAAAAGGCCCAGTTTGAGGTGGGTATATGCATTCTATTTGCCTCGGTGTTTGTTCTGTTTATTATTGTTGATTGAATTTTTATATCTGTGTTGTCCTGCAGAGTTCTGTGGACAAGGCCGCTGATCAAAATGGGATACTGTCATCGTCTGTGCATGAACTATTGAATATAAATTGGTACTATCAGGACCTTCTACTTGAGCTTTACATTTGGGACCGCCGTCTACATCAATTATTCTACTGTAAATCTGTCCAACTAGAAAGTGTTGCTAATTACAAGAATCCTGCTGATACTGTTGATGGGATCTATGGCGATAACTCTGGTATTGATAAGAAAATCAGTGAATCTACATATGACAAAACTACAATAGCTCTGAGGGTAGCCAGTACCACGGAGTCTGCAAGTAACAAACTTGATCCTCAATCAGGTGATGCTGCAGCACCCTTGCTTGATGAAAGCCAGGAAGCTGGGCACTTGGAACTAACTTGCAATGGAGGTAGTAAAGCTGAAGAATCATCCATTGCTCATGGTCAAATAAAGGTAGATGGCACAATAGAAAGCACAAATGATCCTTGTTTCAAAATATCCAATGATAAGGAGGTCCAGGTCAATGACACAGTAGCAGATCCAATACCCATGGAACAGGAGCCTTGTAGCACTCCCCAACAGTTCAAATATCCTTATTGGGATGAAAGGGAAAGGTGGATTTGGAATTCAATTGCCGAGTGTCAATTGGCTTACAGGAATGACATTCAAATTGGATATTTGGAAAAGTTTGAACTCATTAACAATTATTTGCCACATTATCTTCCTCCCTTGTTTGAACAACATGACGAGGCATACTCTCCACAGTTTGCGGTAGGTCCAGGTGGTAATATTTTGTGCATAATGGAAGATGAGATATCCAGCATAATAGCTCGTGCTCTTGCCATATCTGATGAACGCCGCCATTTGATAGATTTAAAATTTGAGAATGGAATGGATTATTCCAAGGGAGAGCATGCTAAAGCAATGGAGAAATCTTATAGTTTTCTGTCTGAAAGTTTTTTCAGCTCGTCACCATGGTCATCTACAGATTCTGAAGCAAGCTTGTCATCTCTGTCTTCATTTTCATCTGATGACTTTTCTGGTTATGATAGCTCATCTTTATTGTCCCCGATGCATCCAGAAATGACTGTGAACGGGGAAAGTGACTCTCAGAGGCAAATATTCAGTCACTGTTGTATATGACAATCAATTCTTTGCACTCGAAAAAAGTGTTGCCCATCCGAGCTTGCATATATTACTTCCTTAAGCCGCCGCTGCAAGAAGTGGAATGCTCAAGGTGGAAAGAGCAAGGCCTATTTTGCAAAGACGACGGATGACAGGTTCATCATAAAGCAAATCAAGAAAACAGAGTTCGAGTCATTTATTAAATTTGCCCCTGATTACTTTAAGCATGTTTACCATTCTCTGGACACTGGAAGCCAAACTTGCCTTGCCAAGATATTAGGAATCTATCAGGTAGTTATATCAAGAGCTCGAGTTTGATTTCGATTCATTTTCCTGCTTTTTTTTTCATGTGGACTCACTTGCCTGTTTCAGGTTAAGCAAATTAGGCATGGCAAAGAGGTAAAGATCGACTTGATGGTGATGGAAAATCTTCTCTTTGGTCACAATATTTCACGAATTTATGACCTCAAAGGTACTACTTTTTCGCGACGCGTCACTGACTCAAATGATCATGATACTGTTTACCTGGACCAAAATTATGTTGAGGACATGGGTTTTTCTCCAATCTATATTGGTGGAAGAACAAAGCATCTTTTGCAGCGTGCAATCTGGAATGACACAGCTTTCCTCACTGTAAGCATAAAGCACATCTTTGCCACAGTTACTGGCATGTTTTTTCAATGATAACATTTGTGAACATAATTATTGTACTTGCAGTCAGTGAATGTCATGGACTATTCTCTACTTGTGGGAGTGGACAAAGAGAAGCACGAACTTGTGTTTGGCATCATTGATTATCTGAGGCAATATACTTGGGACAAGCAACTGGAGACATGGGTGAAGACTTCTCTGGTAGTACCCAAGAATGTTTCACCAACTGTTATTTCCCCCAAGGAATACAAGAAAAGGTTTAGGAAGTTCATGGCGAAGTACTTCCTGTCAGTTCCAGACACATGGAGTCCTGATAATTCTTCTAGGCAATGCAAATCCCTTGGTCAGAGCAATCACAAGTTGGCGGAAGTCCAGAATGGTGATAACCTGCTTCAGCACCTAAATGAAACTGAGGGGTGTACCTAATCCTGTGCAGGACTTCCTGGCAGTTTTGTTGAAATCTATCCCATTGTTGTTTGGCTACTTTTCACTTTGTAAAATGGTGTACATAGGAGGACCTCACTGTTAATCTATCCAAAAGTTTGCGGTTTTTAGGCAAATTGTTGGGCAAGTGAGGTCCACAGGACGTGTACCTATACAAATGTTCATTGTTAATTTCACAATTATTATAGTGAAATTAAGAATTCATATGATCATTTTTTGGACGTACCACTTGTGTGACTGAAGCAGTCTATTCTTCTCTTATGACTAACTGTCCAAGATAGACATTTCCCACCTCTATTGAAATTAGGTCAATTTGAGTATTATGTTGTACCATGTACCCCCAGTGTACTTGCTGGGATCTGAAAGCGGCGCCGTATAAAAGCCTGCCCTCTGATCTTGTTGCACACAGCACAATACAGATTTTGTGTTTGATGGATCCTGTCCAGTTTCGGTATGCCCCCTTTCACTTCTTTTTGGTTCTGCACAATGTACAGCTTTTTCAGATCTCCTGGTATAGAACATATTGCAAGCTACTCTGTATTTTCTTTTATAAACCGAGTTCCATTGTTACTTAGAATGGGTAATTAAGTTTACTTGTTCTGTTTCTGGAATTTCACTCAATATGCATTTATGCCCTGAAACCATTTTTATACGCATTTATGCCTTTTTTTTTATTTTTCAGATATCTTCTCTGTAGATGAGGTTCTGCATCAGGCAGTACAGGCCTGGTGATGTGCCTATCTATGTGCTAATTTATTGCTATACAGGTATGCCTGGACCATTGATGAGGTAATTTTTTTCTGACAATTCATGACTGAGTACAAACTTCACTGATCAGTTCGGTACTTAATTATATGCTACTTTCCCATTCTTGAGCCAAAGCACAGTATCATCTAAGTTGGAGCTTGTATTATAATTTTTGCTTGACCAGATAACTGATACCAAGAACTTTTCTTCTGTTGGCTCAGCAGGTTGACTGAATGTTAACCTGACCTTTTTCTAATCAATCAGTATTTTGATTTTTCAGTTCAGTGTGAATTCATGATGAGCAGCTTATATTTTGGTCAAGCGATTCTGATTGCTGCTTTAAGAGGTGATCATTGTGTCTGTTTGAGGAAGAGATTAGATTTGGTGGGCTGATGAAGCTCAGCTTTTCCCACCAGAGGCAGAGCCCTAACCCAAAGTATGGAATATGGATTGCCCTGCTGCTTACCATGATATCGCTTGCTTCTGGCCCTGCAAGGCAGCTCAATCAATTTGGCATTGCAACCTTTGCCAGCAGTGGTTCTCTTCATCCGATTGAGGGCCAGAGGATGATTCTGGCTCAAAAGACGTTCACAAAGTGATCATTCTGTTCCAATTCCAGAAGGCTGTTCCTCATGATTATACAACCAAATGGTGACGGGGTCCAGATATCAAAGAGAAGCATCACAAGAAAAGAATCTCACAAAAGCGGCCACAAAGGTACCATCCCTCCCTTAGGTCGTTTGTTCATCTTCTCCGTTTTATTAAAACGACAACCATCCCTCCCTTAGGCCGTTTGTTCATCTTCTCTGTTTTATTAAAATGACTGGTCTTTTTTGTACCATTCACCATATTCTTGAGCTGGTGGGAAGCGACAATACGGTTCAATGGACGAAAGCATAAGCCTACCACAAAAAACAAAACGAACAAGCAAAAAAGAATAAGAACAGAAAAGTCTAGTTTCTTCTTCCTTTTTGTCTCCTATATATGTCCAACAAGTTGGCCACACCACCACAGTGCTTTCCCAGTTATAGAAAAGGGCAAAGAGTTGGTTTTCCTTTTTCCGAGGTCTGATTGGTGGCACTCGCGGATTCTCCTTTTCAGCATCAGCTGTGATATTATTACCATATAGATATAACTACATACTATAACTAAAAGGACGTCTAAGGGGGTGTTTGGTTCTTTAATCGCTCCTTAAAATTTATGTCACATCAAATATTTAGAGGCTAATAAGGAGCATTAAATATAAATTAATTACAAAACCAATTACATTGATGGAGGCTAATTTTCGAGACGAATTTTTTAAGCCTAATTAATCTATCATTAGCATATGTTTACTGTAGCACCACGTTGTCAAATCATGGACTAATTAGGCTTAAAAGATTCGTCTCGCAAATTAGTCGCAAGTTGTGCAATTAGTTTCGTAATTAGTCTATATTTAATACTCCATGCATGTGTCTAAACATTCGATGTGACGGAAATTTTAGGAGGAGGGGAAGGAACCAAACAGGCTCTAAATCTGAAGTATATTATGTTGAAAAAAATGCTAGAGATATGTTCTGGTTCTGATTCTGTGGCAGTACCGCCGTTGATTGGGAAGCATACAAAGAGGAGGAGGATTCTGCTGCTACATGCATGACTTAAGTATGGACACCCTACTAGACTGATTGCTAGCTTGCTAAGCTAGCTAGAGAGTAAACAGCACAGCACTGCACTGCACTGCACTTAACCAGAGAAGGAGAGGAGAGGAAAACAAATTAAACAAACAAACAAAAAGCACCTTTTCTTGGGTTGCCTAGATTTGTTAGCCTCTTGTTGGAGGAGTATCTACTAGTAGTACTAGGGTGGCATAGAATAGAAGAAGTGGAGCTGCCTGCTGAAACCGTTCTTCTGAACAACTCATCTTGTGATTGTGAAGTTTAATTTTGTTTCAGCTGATAATCTAAGGACGGGAGGAGCTAGCTAGCGATGGCTGCAAAGGTGGGAGAGCATCTTCCTGCCCTCGACGATCTCCTCGAAGAAGTCATCAAGCTCAGCGATGACGGCCTCGGCGCCTGATCGCAGCATCCCAACCCAGCCATTGATGATCTCGGCTCTCTGGCCGAGGCTGTCTCCGATGTCGTCGCCGTAGCCACCCATGGTGCCGACCCTGTCGAAGTCCTGCTTGAGGCCGTCGATGGCAGCCCTGGCCTGGCGGAACTCGTACATCATGATCCCGCCAGCGCTGCCGCCGCCGATGATGCATCCTTCCATCTCCTGGGCGACGCGCTGGCGCAGGCGGGCGACGGACGCGACGTAGCCGCCGCCCGAGGCACGGAGCTGCTGGTGGTGGGCGACGGCAGAGCAGCCGGCTGTGAGGTCGGGGAGGCAGGTGACGGTGCCGGAGATGAGGAGGACGAGGAGGAAGGAGGTGGCGTTGCGCAGCACGTAGAGGACGCCGCGGAAGCCGTTGAAGGCGTTGAGCTTGAACTCGAGCGGGGAGCGGTCGTCGAGCAGGAGCGAGGCCGGGTCGAGCCTGGCGTCGGCGAGCGCGCGGTTATCCTGGTGGAGCGCGACGGCGTGGCGCCTGGGCGCGGTGATGGCGCGCTGGAGGTGTCGCGCTGCTGCGGCGGCGTGGGATTGGGAGCCACTGGAGCCGGAGCCGTAGAGCCAGTCGCGGAGCGCGGGGGCGACGCGTGCGGCGGCGGCGCAGTAGGCGTCGAGCCCCGCGGCGCCCGCGCGGGCGATCTGGCAGGCGTCCCACAGGCGGGAGGTCTCGTCCATGTACTCGTCCAGCCAGCTCTCCCCCGGCGGCAGGTGGAGGCAATGCACCAGGTGGAGTAGCTGCGAGTGCAGCGACCGTAGCAGCGCCGCCGCCTGCTGGAGGAAGGCCGCCGATAGGCACGCGTGCGGGCTGCGCTGCAGCGCGTCCAGCCCGTGCGCCATGGAAGAGTAGAACCCGTTCATGCTGTTGATGTTGCTGTTGCTGGCTGGCCTTGCTCTGCTCTGCTCTGCTCAATGGTGGTGGTGGCGGCGGCGGTGGCTGTGCATGGACAGGTGGACACTGGTGGTGTGCGCTTGAGCCTGCCTCTGCCTGGACGCTGGGTTTGGGTTTTATAGGCAGGCAGGGGAGGGACTATGGACTATGGTAATGAGTAATGATGGGGTGTCTGTTGCGCAGGGGGAACGACGATGATGGATTCCATTTTGCTCCTGCTGCTGCACCAGTCTGGCTTGGACTTCTATTCTTCAAGTCATGGCTTCCATGCCAGTTGCCAGATGCCCACTGCTTCTGTTTGGGCCGTCGCCTCGCCCGTGAGCCTCCGTGCTTCGTGTTGGCCCCTGATCTTCCACAGGTGAGCCGACCGTTTGTCGGCGTTGCCGGCCACATGCTATGGCTAGAGGTAGAAGAAGAGGGAAGAACAGAGCGCACACACAGCACAAGCACCAGCGTTGGCCGGAGCTCTGCAGAGGAGATAACAAAATTGAATTCGCTCTCTTTATTGAGTTACAGTGGAAAACTATATATACAACTCTACCTATCTAATCTTAGTACACAGCCATGTGAGGCTGCCCTGTTGCTACAGTGACTAGATGTGACAGCATGGCTGAATTTGGCGCCTGCCCTTGCTGTGGCTACAGTGCAGTAGGGGAGCCTTTTCGACGCCTGTCCCTGCCGCGGCTACACTGCCGTGGCAGGGGAGCCCTTTCGGCGCCTGCCCTTGCCACGTGTTCAGAGGAGAGCAGCAGATTACTTAACAATTCTTTTTCTAATCCTGCTGCTAACCCTAGAACTTCCACCATGCCGATCATCTTCTTCTGCTCCATGAACCGAAGACGGTCGCGCGGCTTGGTGAGGACGTCTGCGAGTTGTCGACCAGTTTCGACAAATTCGATGACGATCTACCCTCCATCGACACAGTCCTTGAGTAAGTGGAACTTGACGTCGATGTGTTTGCTCCGGTCGTGGAGAACCGAATTCTTTGCGAGGGCGATGGCGGGCTAGTTGTCCACCATCAGTGCTGGTGGGTGAGCTTCTACACCGGTCAGCTCGTCCAGCAGCCAACGCAGCCACACAGCTTGGCACGCCGTTGTGGCCGTCGTCACGTACTCTGCCTCGCACGTGGACAGCGCCACCACCTTCTGTTTCAGCGACAGCCATGAGACTGGAACCGACCCGAGGAAGACGAGCACGCCAGAGGTGCTCCGTCATCCGTCGATGTCCTCCGCCATGTCTGCATCGCTGAACACAGTGAGCTATAGCCTACTTCCGTCGGTCTTGGGGAAGACGATCACCTAATCCACCATCCTCTTGACGTAGCGCAACAGCCGCTTCACCACAGCCCAGTGATCCTCTAGGGGATCCTCCATGAAACGGCTGACGTAGCCCACGGTGAACACAATGTCCGACCTCGTGTGAACTAGATAGTGTAGCCCGCCGACGATGCTCCGGTAGAGTGTTGCATCTACCTTCGCCGCGGTACTGGCCTTCGTCAACTTCAGCCGCTCCTCCATCGGAGTCACGCACGGCTTGCACTCAGCCATGCCGCGCCGCTCCAACAGCTTCAAGGCGTACGCGCTCTGACCGAGCGTGAGCGCCTTCTTCCCCTATCTCACCTCGATGCCGAGGTAGTAGGAGAGCGCGCCGAGATCGCTCATTCAAAAATGAGCCGCCATCTCGCGCTTAAAACTATCGATGTCCTCCGCACGCGCGCCGGTGATGATCAAGTCGTCCACATACACGCCGACGATGAGCTCCTCCTTCCCCCGTCACCACGTGTAGAGCGCGTGCTCAGTTGTGCACTGTGTGAACCCAAGCTCGCCCAGCGTGGCGTCTAGCTTGGCGTTCCACGCTCGCGGGGCCTGTCGCAGCCCGTAGAGTGCCTTGCGCAGTCAGAGCACCCTGTACTCCGCTCTCTTGACGGCGAAACCCGGAGGTTGCCTGACGAAGACCGTCTCCGCCAGCTCGCCGTTGACGAAAGCTGATTTTACGTCCAGGTGATGGACGCGCCAATCCTTCGCTGCTGCCAAGGCCAGCAGCAGTCGGATAGACTCCATCCGCGCTACCGGCGCAAAGACTTCCTCAAAGTCGATGTCCTCGCGCTGGACAAAGCCTCGGGCGACAAGGCGCACCTTGTGCTTGACAATGGCGCCACGCTCGTCCTGCTTGACCTTATACATCCACTTTAGGCCGATCGGACGGCATCCTAGAGGTGGATCGATGAGCTTCCAAGTCTCGTTTTTCTTGATCGCCTTCATCTCCTCCAGCATCGCCCGTTGCCAATTGCATCGCGCTCGGCCAGCGCGAACGTGGGTGGTTTCTCTACACTGATGAGAAAGCAGCTCTAGGTCATTGAGCAGCCGACCCGTCAGGCCTGAGGACCCTATGCCGCCGACGATGTCGTCCAACCTGCGGAACCGCACCTCCTCACCGTCGTGGAAGGCATCCACGAACTCGGTGATGTCGTTTGGAGGTGAGGCGAACTCGATCGGCGTCGATGGAGTCCCCTGTTCCACCGGAGTGGTCGGCACAACACTTGAAGTGCTCGGCACCCCGGCTGTAGTGCTCGACACTACTCCTGGACCGCTCATCACCACTCCTGGAGTGGTCGGCACCCCTCTC